GCTTGGACTTTCTTAAGAAGGACTCAGAGAGAACGTATTAAAATATTCACTTGTAAGTTATCCCACATCCCTTATATATAGGTAAAATAAGCTTAATTTATAAGTCTAATGAGCTATTCTTCCTTCCACTAATTGATTTTGGGACAAAACCTCACTTGGGCTTTATCTGGGTTTTTCCTGTCTTGGTGCGCATCCGTTTCTTACAATGCAATTAAATAATATGCACAAGCATTTCGCATTATTGTTAACTATACGGTAAATTTAGATATGCGAGTCTACGCGAAAAAAAAAATAAAAAAATGATAAATATGTGGTTATTAATTTGGAATGCGAAATAGTTTCGCATATCAAGAATTAATATACAGTGGATTTGTATATGCGAAGGTCTTTCGCATAATTATTAACTATACGTCCGATTTGAATATGTGTTGATATATATACGACAAAATCACGCATAATTGTTAATTATGCGATTCATTTTGATATGCTGATTTTATATCGCTTATATAGTTTCATCAATCATAATTAGGTGAAAAAGAAGTTTTTTATTGTAAAGAAATTTAACCATATTTTTCACATTTTTCCTCTACATGTTTCTTAGCAGCCACATTGCCTATATAAAATTATATTCATGTTAGGACAGTCCTGCCTTCATAAAGGATATCCAATGTCTGTCCACTTTAGCCTTATCATCAGCCTACCACCATTGAACTATTTTCACACAAAATTACTAAAATAAAGTATTTTCCATTGGAATTTTAATTGAGTTGCTGATATCTTCATTTAATAATAATAATAATAATATATATAGATTTATTTATTTCATTCAAATTTGGTGCAGTAAATATTAATTAATTAATCAAATGTTTAGCAGTCAAAAAAATGAAGCACCTGCCCAAGAAGTGGAGCTGTCCAGACCTGAAAATTCTTTGCCTCTCTCTTCCTATAAATTCAGCAAATGAGTTTATTCCCATCACCACACACACCTCTTTGCTTCACTGTCCTATACTCCTATCTATCTTAAGCTTGATATTATAGTTTTCTGCAACATAATAAACAGAAATTACGAAATGGCCTCATGTCTTGTGCAAAATTCCGAAAACAGCCCCAACGAAATTGTTCGCCCTGCTGCCAACTTCTCTCCTAGCTTATGGGGTGCTCAGTTCCTCGATTACGAATCCGATACTCAGGTTGGTTAATTATTATTAATTATAGTATGTAATTTTTACATTTTGCGTTTCATGCAAATTAATTTACTCTTTTCATACATATACGATAAGTTGTTAATGAAATTCGGTTAACAAAGTAAATGTTTTATGACTTGTAAACAAAAGGCGAAGCGAGAGCTCTTTGAGACTGTTCAAGTGCTGAAGAGCAAAGTTGAGAGCATGCTGAAGACAGCAAGTGAGGGCAACATTGTGGATGCTATCGATCTGATTGACACGCTGGAGCGGCTAGGCGTGTCGTACCATTTTGAAAAGGAGATTGAAGAGATCGTACAACAATTGTTTAATCTCAATACAAATTATGAGGATGAATCCTTTGATTTGCATGCAGTTGCACTTCATTTTCGTGTGTTTAGGCAGCACGGCCACCGTATATCTTGTGGTAAGCTAGAACTCGATCGACTTGTCAAATTATATAGCTATCTATCTTTATATACATATGTGTATATAGTTTGCTAAAGTAATTAACTAATTAAATAAACTTTGTGAGCAGATATATTTGATAAGTTCAAGGATGGAGACGGTAAATTTCACGAGGCCCTTAACAGCGACGGAAAAGGTCTGTTGAGCTTGTATGAAGCAGCACATCTAAGAACACATGGGGAAGACGTGCTGGAAGATGCTCTTGCTTTCGCAAAATCCAACCTCAAGGCCATGGCACCAAATTTAAGCTCGCCCCTTAGGAAACAAGTTGTGCATGCTCTAGTTCAACCCTTCCATTTTGGCAATCCAAGAATCGAAGCACGTAATTTCATTTCTTGTTACGAAGAGCACGAGGCTAAGAACGATATCCTCCTTAGGTTTGCTAAATTGGACTACAATTTACTACAAATGCTTCACAAAGAAGAGCTCCGACAAGTCTCAAGGTAACATGTGTGTCGAAATTAAGAGTCGTGTATTCAACTAGGATTTCAAATTACCTTTTGTGACTTTTTAAGATTTTCAAATTTCGGAGAAATCCTGTGAACCTTAAGAAATCTTTAGAAATCTCAATTGAATACGTCCATACATGTATATATGTGTGTTGATTACTACAAACTTGATGATCGTTATATATATGTATGTATGCAGATGGTGGAAAGAATTAGACCTTATTTCCAAGCTTCCATATGCTAGAGATAGAGTGGTTGAGTGTTTCTTTTGGGCTATGGGAGTCTATCACCAACCTCAATACTCTCGTGCTCGAATCATGCTCACTAAGACCATTGCTATGACTTCTATTATTGATGACACTTATGATTCTTATGCTACAATTGAGGAGCTTGATATTTTTACAGAGGCCATCGAAAGGTAAATTAATTATACTACAATTGATAAAGATTCATCTGTAATGTATCTTAATTTAGTTTGTCCAATTCTTACTTTATTATATTTGGATGGTTTGCTTCTCTAATTAAATTATATATATATATAGATGGGACATTAGCCAAATTGATGCACTCCCAGAGTATTTGAAACCATTATATGAAGCTCTTTTGGAACTATACGTGCAATTTGAGCAAGAAGTCGCAAACGAAGGAAGATCGTATGCCGTATACTATGCAAAAGAAGCAGTATGTTCAATATTTTCTTTAATTTCTTCTACTATTTTCATTAAATTTTGAGATTAACCAACTAAATTATGTGATCGGTTCATGATTTGATTAATTAATGCAGCTCAAGGAACTGGTGAGGAGCTACCATGTGGAAGCCAAGTGGTTTATTCAGGGATACTTGCCACCATTTTCCGAGTACCTCGAAAATGCTCTAATCACATGCACTTACTGTTATCACACGACCACAGCCTTGCTCGGAGAAGAATCTGCAAAAGAGGAAGACTTCAAATGGCTAAGTCGTAAACCTAAGATGCTTGTTGCCAGCCTCAAAGTTTGTCGCCTCATTGACGACATAGCTACTTATGAGGTACGCATTGCAGTTATTCTTACAAACGTTACACATGCATATAATAATAATAAATAATAAAAAAAGGGATCGGTACTCAATATTCGATTTTGTCAGGTTGAGAAAGAAAGAGGGCAAATCTCTACTGGGATCGAAAGTTACATGAAGGAAAATGGGGTGTGCAAAGAAGTCGCGGTGGATAAGTTTTTCGAGATAGCTATAGATGCATGGAAGGACATGAATGAGGAGTGTCTTAAGCCTTCTTCCCACCCAAGGAACGTTCTAATGCATATTCTCAATCTCGAGCGTATAATAGACGTCACATATAAGGGCAACGAAGACGGTTACACTCAACCGGAAAAGGTTTTGAAACCACACATCCTCGCCTTGTTTGTGGATCCTATTAAAAATTGATCGATACACATTATTACTATATATTGAGTTGTGTGCTTTTATTGTGTAAGAAGTCGGATTATATACCTAGTTAGTATCTCTAATTGCCTATGTGCATCATGGTGAGTCGAGTTGCTTATTTTGTTTATTCATGTTTGTAATATGAAATCTTGGTGAGTCAGAGTTGCTTATTTTGTTTATTCATGTTTGTAATATGAAATCTTTGTTTCTGAATAAACGGAAACCGTGCGATACACGGGGTGAATAATTTTAATATTATTTGCACAGTCTTATTATTATTTTCGTAAATAAAAATATTAATCAACTTGGAAGAATAAAATTAAAAAGAACACTACATATTATTAAATAACTCTTTGTACACAATATTTTTTGTTTATCTGGCAAACCATCATCTCTACAAACTAATATTTTTAAGTCATTTCGATTAGCGACATGAGAAACAACTGAATATAACTGGTCATGAGTGAAAATTGCCTTTTTCAAGAATAGGCCAACATTGAATAAAGATTGATTGTCACTCTTGTTAATCGTCATGACATAAGAAACCATAAGAGGAAACTGTCTCGCTGATTAATAAAACTTCGGAAATCAAACCGAAAAAGGGAGAAGTCACCTTTGAACTTAACCAAATTGTCATACCATGGATTGAAATTTTAAATTGGGCAATTGTGAGCCGAAATGAGTTAACATTCCCCTTAACTTGGTATGTTTGAATACCATAAACTTCGCCTTCTCCAATATTGCTAATCCGTTTTTTCATGTTGGTAGCTTGTAACAATATGGTTATATACAACAACACTCATAAATTTGAAAAAAAAAAAAAAAAACAAATTGCAACTCATGATCTCCTCGTCATGAAATAAGATTTCCTATATTAGTACAAAATAAAATTTAAATATATTACTCTGACATTTTATAAGATACATATATACATATATTATTAAACAACTACCATATATATGAGTACATCATATCAATTAAGTAGGTTCATACAAAAATTTATGATAGCTAGTAAGTTGTTGATGACCCATTCCCTCCACATTATTTTATTTCTGAAAACCATATATAATATTTGTGGTGATGCTACACTTTGTTTTCTTTAGTCCCGGATCAACTTGATCCGAATCATATGTTCTAATCTCACTCTGAAATTCACAAAATTGTGAATGACCCCGTCTCTTTTATCTTATTACTTATTAGCACTAATCAACATCGATGGTGGAGTACAATAAAATTGAAGTAGATAAGATAACTAGCTAGCACATATTAAATTCACAAATATGCAAAACCATGGTCCTGCTCAGAACTGTTCAACGAAACCAGCCACTCGTGAGATTGACTTGTTAAGGCCCGAGTTTACTCAGCTCGATAAAACTCGAAAATATAATATGTATATAAGTTTTTGTAGATCGACTCGTTAAAACTCGATATTGCCTGGAACTCGGCTCGTTAATTTGATCAACGAGCCAAACTTTGACTCGTTTATTTAACAAGTTGAGTCTGGACCGACTAGTTTACAGCTCTTCTTGCCTGAACCCAACTGAAAAATGGACAAACTCAATCACCTTGGACACCAAATCCCCAACCTCAACACCAATTTTAGTGGTGTCCAAAACAATCCTAGGCACCTCACCAACATCATAGTCCCAACAACCGCTGTAACCTTCCAACAGCCGCCCCATCTCCGTGTTAGTTTTTTGATTAATTGTTGTCCCACATCGGATGTATACCAAAGATGTGTAGGATCTTATTAGTATAAATAGGTCCCTTGCCTTTGGGTTACAATTGCACCTTATTCTATTCTCTCCTATTTAGAAGGAAATCCTTAATTAAGGAAATCCAATTTTGTGGGTTATTTAACCCTAGTTGTATTTTGTTGG